CATGAAAAAATATTCACACAATACTTTAAGGTTAAATGACCAAGCTTCCAAAATAGTATAATCCCAATCTTAATATATATAAACATGTATATACAAAGAATAATAGATAGCCTGGCACGAATGTATAGAATCGAGATGAGAATGTTCTATACCAAAATCTTAACCATTTCAGATTAATGGATGTTTCATTATCTTTTCTGATTTTCTGCACGTTTCAAATTTTCTACAGTGAATATGTTTAAGTATTCACTGTAGAAATATATATACTCAGGATAAAAAAAGTTATTACTTAAAAAAATTAGACCCAACAGGCAACAGATTGAAAATTATAAATATCCACAACCATGGAAATGTAAATAGAATAAGGAACTCAAAGTATGAGTAAATTGTGTAGTCTAGTCTTAATTCATCTCTTCTCCTAACTAAATAAGTAAATAAATAAGCCAAGTAAGATTAAAGAACAGAGAGAAGATGAGAAAGTCAACCTGAAAGCAGACTGCAAATTATGTTTTATATGAGTCTAACCAGTTTAACAACAAACATTTAAAATTTCAATGCGCTTATATGGACATTATCAATAGTTCTGGTATCCATCCAAAATAGAATTTAAAACTTTAAGTACTACAACTTGAAGGAATTTGGTCATTTTAAGTAACTGAAATTTACAGAGGTTGTAACACTACTAGAATACACTTGAAGGGAATATGAAATGTATCGATATATGTAGACTCAGACCTTAATGACATCAAAGTAAATCAAACAATTAAGATAATTTTACTTACGAATATGCTCGATCCAGTTGTCAGAATGCTGATACATAGAGTAAAAAAATTAAGGAAGATACCAGTATTACAGTAATAGGATATTCACTGCTAAGAATAAATCTAAAAAGCAGCCTTCTTAAAGTTTAGGCAATGATCAGTAAGAAACTGAAATTAAACTCAAATTACTGGCTTAATTTTACTTTTAAAAATTTAATGTTCTTAGGTAAACAAACTATAATATAATGAAAATACTCCAAGGAAATACTTTCAAAATTGAGCAGGGATAAAATTGTCTTTTCAAACTATGTGTAGTTGACATTCTTTTGACAGAGGAACAGTACTATAATAATCCATGGATTTCTGGTTTCTAAAACAGGAAGAAATTTCTTCCTCCTTCGAACCTCTCCAGTATTTTATTTGCACCTGTATTAAGTCACTCAACACTTTCTATCTTCTTTTCACATTGTGCGCCTCTTATGAAGCTTATCAGACTGAAATTCTTCTGCACATAGTAGACACTTATAAATGTGACAATAAATTATCCTACGTCCATTACAAAAGTTAGCAGTAATCACATTATAAACTGTACACTTGTATACCACCAAGAGTTGTTAGAAATTTCTTATTGTAAAAAAAAAAAAAGAAATTTCTTATTGTAAAATAAGTATTAAAGAATGTGTCAGCAAGAAAAATGAACAAACTATAACTCCATCACAGTAATACAAGAATTGATTCTTCTTCTGACATTACTTTGCATATATTAATTTTACAGCAGCAATCAAAATGAGGTATAGTCATTAACTCATTTTATTTAGCTCAATAGGGTTGAATTTGTCTTACAGAAAAATTTCAGCAAAGGTCAAAAAAATTCTAGCCCCTTCCAAAATTAAACCTAATTTATGATTATGTAGACATGCAGGTAAAGACTGGAAAAGAGTATGTAAAAGGCAAAATATAAAAATAATGCTTGGGTGATGTGACTATAAATTTATTAAAAACTTATCTTTCATCTGTTGAAAAGTGTTGAAAACTGGGGGAAGAACAGCTTTAGTTTCTTTTGAATGTTAAGTCTGAGATGCAAAACCAAGTGGGAATGTTGACTTTCAATTACTGAAGCTCCCCATAAGCTTGAGGGGGGAAAAGAGGAACCATGTTCCTTATCTTTGTTCCCCCAAAGCCTAACACCCTGCCTGGTATGTATTATGTGCCCAGTAAAGGTTTTGGAGTAAGGATGCTATGTGTTTTCCAAATCAAAATCCTTGAGGACAGCGATTCCGAATCTGCACAATGACTAAGAAAAGCCTTTGGAACCTAAGTGGGATTTTGCCAATGCCTATGCAAGAAACTTCTACATAACGGTAATATGTATATTTGCCTTTAGATGTAAAAAATTATTTGAGACTCTCTAAAGTGAAGGTCATTTTTTTCTTTTAAGTGTGGCTTTATGTTGAAGGTGAGCTCAAAGGTGTTAAAGAAATAATTACCTTTTAACATGGAGGGCTGGGTTCCAGGCACATTTACAACAAGAAAAACAGTATGCACTTGGACAACGGAGGCATTAAGTAACTCAAACTCAGCAGGTGACAGCCAATTACAAAAGGAAGCAACTCCTTGTAACCAACAACAATGGAAAGAGGTCCGAGAAGAGGAAGAACATTTTTATTTACTGGACATCTTTTACATACTTGGCACCATGGCAAACCTACGTCCTTTAATTCCCGTAATACTGAGAAAGGTATCCATACTCACCCTCCGTCCTAGAGGTTAAGAGCTCAGAGTACATCTCTTTACCTCATCCAGCTATTAGGAGTCAGAGCTCACCTCACAGGTCAGGTCTGAGTGCTTGCCTCCCCGCTATCCCAAGCAAAGGTATTTACACTTAATTGCACGTGATGAGTACAGAAAAACTCAAAGGCACAAAGGAATGGAAGAAAATGCCACATCCACTGCCAAAATCAGGGCGGAACACCAGTGCGAACCCTTCCAGTGCCAAAGGGAGGCATGCCTTCGGTCTGGGCAGCCATGGTCCCCGCTCGCCCTCGTCTCCCTCGCTTACTCATCCCGCCCATCAGCGAGGAAAGGAGAAGGTTCAGGCCTCAGGAACACTACACGGCCCGGCGGCGAGTGTGACGAGACCGGAGAAAAGTTGGGAGACCTGCCCCACGGCCCTCTGTGGGGGGAGGTGACAATGAAGGATATAAGGAGCCGGGGCAGGACAGACGGCAGTTCCCGGCGGCACAGCTCCTCCGGCCAGCTACTTAATTCTTCCAGAGGAACAGCGCTCGCCGGGGCCGCGCTTTCCTGAGACATGTTTCGCCAACCAGTGCAGCTTCAAACCAGTCCCGCCACCGCCACGACCGGAAACTCCCGCCCTCCCGGCAGGCCTTGCGAGCTCTCCGCGGGCACCAGTACCATAGAGAGGAAGCGGACTGCGTTCCTCGTGAGCTCGAGCCGCGCGCGGCTGGGAAGGGAGCCGGGCTTGTCTGGCCCGCGGAGGACTCGACTCACAGGTGCGCGCTTTCCATTCCGAGGGTCCGGCGTGGCGCGTGGTTTCTCAGGGCCGGGCGCTGGGACCTTCCCGGGCTGCGAGCATTCTCAGGTCTGGATCACTGGAAACGGTTGCAGTGAGACGCTTTGGGGAGGTGAAGGCGGAAGACCCCAGATATGCTACCGTCTGTTACATGGGGCTTTGAGATTGAGCATCTGGGGTCACGGTTGACCTGGGACTTGCAGCCAGAAATGAATCCAAGGCCCAGGGCGCGGTTGGGTAGATAGAAACAGGCACCTTTCTACCCACTTCACTATGCGACCCGACTTTGTACGTCTCGTGTAATGGAAATAGACCCCGCCTGCCAGAGTTGTGCAAATTGAAGCAAATGGTATATAAAGTTATCTAACACGATAAATACTGTGAAGAGTTTTGGTGAAGTTGCTTCTACTTTCTAGGGGACTCTCCAGTCAGTGCCCTTATTTTGTTTCTCTAAAACCAAATTAATCTTTACTAATTACTCCAAAATTCTCCTACTCCCATACCCTTGGGGCTGCTGGTCTTTGCTAAATGTTTGTAGCTAAGGTCATTTGGATGAATTACACACACCATACCCGTGCTTGTTTTTAAAGGGATTGTCATTTACCAAAATAAAATCTTGAAGGCCTGTTACAGTAACAGACTGAAGTGAAGAGATTCTGGCAGTTTTAGGAGGTAGGTATGTTTGGGCAAGATCATGATAGGTGAAAGACTTAAGTCAGGCTTGTCTTTTCCTGCCTGGCAATTTTGAACTTTATGTTTTTTCGAGTAGTTGTTCTGTTGTCCTTTTGTTTGTTTTTACAGTTTATTCTCTTCTCCATTTCTTGAACCCTGAAGGGTGTGTGTATATGTTTCTCTTTCTATCCCTCTCCCTTCACAGCTTTTACAGAAAAAGTAGCTGTATAGCGGAAGGGGGGAGGGGTGCTATTTAATGTTACATTTTAGTGAAATATATCATTTTACCTTTTTAAAAAAATTTTTTTATTTCATTTATTTATTTTTAAGTAAGCTCTATGCTCAATGTGGGGCTTGAACTCAGGACTCCAAGATCAAGAGTCGCATGCTGTAGCAACTGAACCAGCCAGGTGCCCCTCATTTTACTTTTTAATAACAATTTTCTTTTTTTTCTCCAGAGCTAATTTGAAAGAAGAGCGAAGACCTCTAAAAAGGCATTTGGAAACATCTCTAAATATTGTAAAGAAAAATTAATCCTCAACAAAACTAACTGAATAATTGAAGTAGGTTTATGTGTGTCATCAGTTCTATCCAGAAGTTGAAGAATTTTCCTTTGAATTTAAGGATTGTGTGCCTTTAATGAGAGGATGACTTTTCAATTTAATTTTACTATAGAAAACCATCTGGAAAATGAATCAACACCGCTTGGAGATGGAGCTTTGGCCCTAGATTCCTCCAAAGGGCCTTCAGTCTCAGAAAGTAAAAAAGGTAAACATAGGGACAGAAAATGTTCTACAGAACAGTTTGACTGGCCTCAGGATCATTTGTCGGAACATAAGCCAGTGGGAAATGCAGCTGCCTCGCAAGACACCGACCGCTCACTCAGTGCAGCAAATAGCTCAAATAACTTGGAGCCACATGAAAAACATCCCTGCATGAGTGTTGCCAAAGAGCATCCTATGCCTAAAGATTTAAAGAAAGTGTTAGAAAACAAAGTCGTAGAAACATTATCAGGTCCCCAACATGTTAATGTATCAATAGTGAAAACCATCTTGTTTAAAGAGAACTTCCCTGGAGAAAATATAGTTTCACAAAGCATTTCTTCTCACTCTGATCTGATTACTGGTGTTTATGAAGGAGGCTTAAAAATCTGGGAATGTACCTTTGACCTGCTGGCTTATTTCACAAAGGCCAACGTGAAATTTGCTGGGAAAAAAGTGTTGGATCTTGGCTGTGGATCAGGGTTGCTGGGGATAGTTGCATTCAAGGGAGGGGCCAAAGAAATTCATTTTCAAGATTATAACAGTATGGTGATTGATGAAGTAACCTTACCTAATGTAGTGGCTAACTCAACTTTGGAAGGTGAAGGAAATGACGTAAATGAACCCGATGTGAAAAGATGCAGGAAATCAAAAATAACACAAGAATTATGTAAGTGCCGGTTCTTTTCAGGGGAGTGGTCTGAGTTTTGCAAGCTTGTACTAAGTAGTGAAAAGTTCTTTGAAAAATATGATCTCATTCTCACCTCAGAAACCATTTACAATCCAGATTATTACGATACTTTGCACCAGACATTCCTTAGATTGTTAGATAAGAATGGACGGGTGCTCTTAGCCAGCAAAGCACATTATTTTGGTGTAGGTGGAGGTATTCATCTCTTTCAAAAGTTTGTGGAAGAAAGGAACGTATTTGAGACTAGAACACTCGAAATAATTGATGAAGGACTAAAGAGATTCCTAATTGAAATGGCTTTTAAGTAACTGAGTTATTGTCCACTGAGTGTCCTAAGTGAAATAAAAAGAATAACCAAAAACTTTTGAATGTTTGATTTCTGCTTTGCTATTATTATTTTTTTAATTATGATGTTTGTTTATCCAAATAATATCCCAGCTATATTAATAACATGTACTTGCTAGGGGAGCTAGATAAATAGTATTCTGAGCACTTGATGAGATCTAGGAGATTATTTTGTGGGAACGTTTTCTGCTCTCTACCTTTATTCTATTTGGCCTTTCTACCACCTTTGACATTAAATAAATTTTTTCTCAGGGAAACTTGACACTTTCTATTTCTTTTTTTTACGATTTTTTTTTTTAAGATTTTATTTATTTACTTGACAGAGAGCGCACAAACGGGGAGCGGCAGAGGGAGAGGGAGAAGCAGGCTCCCTGCTCAGCAGGAAGCCCGGTGGTGGGGCTCATCCCAGGACCCTGGGATCATGACCTGAGCCGAAGGCAGACGCTTAACTGACTGAGCCACCCAGGCACCCTGACACTTCTTATTTCAAGTTTGAATTTCTTCTCAGTCTTCTGTTTATATGAAGTGCCTAGTCAGATGATCATGCCATTAATTCTAAGGGCATACATATGCATCACTAAATGGTACGAACCTAAATACTAGACTGAAGACCTTAGGTAACTAGGAAGAAGCTTTTTGTTTTATTTTTATATTCATTTATCTCATATAAGAATAAGAATTCTGAGCAACTGAATTCACCCTGAGATGGGAGAAATAAAGGGGAATCATGATAGTATAAAAGTTACCCAGAAAATCCAATAAAAAAATAAACACTAAAAAAATCACCAATCGATAACCTAAATTTTCACCTTAAGACACCAGAAAAAGACGAGCAAACTAAACCCAACAGAGGCAGAAAGAAGGAAATAAAGATTAAAGCAAAGATCATGAAATAGAGAATAGAAGAATAGAAAAAACTCAACAAAACCAAAAGTGGGGTCTTTGAAAAAATCAACACATTTGCCAAATCCTCAGCTAGACTGATCAAGAAAAAGAGGTCTCAGATTATTAAAATCGGTAATGAAAGAGGGGGTATTACTAGTGACCTTACAGAAATGAAACAGCTTTTAAGGAAATTACACAAGATCTAACTAGGCGAAAAGACACTGTGTTCAGGGGTTGGGAGACTTAGTATTGTTAATTCCCCACACTGATCTGCAGATTCAATAGGATCCCTAACAAACCCTCACTGACCCACAGGTACCAACATTTGTTATCTCTTGTCTTTGTCATGGTAACCACTCTGTGGGCACCCATTCAACTTGCAAAGTATCTTTTACAACCTTAAAAAGCACAAAAGCCAAGTGTTGAAATATATTGAACTTAGAATTAGGCCTTTGGATCTCTGTATCGCAGTGTTGAAACCAGATTTTAAAAATTAAACTTTTTAATTTCTTTTAAAAGATTTTATTTACTTATTTGAGAGAGAGTGAGAGAGAGAAGCAGACTCCCCCGCTGAGCAGGGAGCCCGATGTGGGCTCCATCCCAGGACCCTGAGATCATGTCCTGAGCTGAAGGCAGATGCTTAATGGACTGAGCCACCCACATGCCCCTAAATTTTTTAATTTTGATAACTATGAATTCATATGTAAGAAATGTATGTGAAAAATAATACAAAGAGATTTTGTAGAAACTTCACCTGTTTTCTCCCAATGCTGACATCTTGCAAAACTATCGTACAATATCACAACTAGAAAATTGACATTGATATTGTCAAGATATAAAAGAGTATCATCACGACAGAGGCTCCTTCTGTTGTCCTTTTTTTTTTTTTTTTTTGGCTACACCCACTTTCTTCTCTGGTTCCTTCCTCTCCTAACCCCAGAAACTACTGACCTGTTCATCTCTATAACTTGTCATTTAAAGTATGTCATATACAGGCGCTTGGGTGGCACAGTCGGTTAAGCATCCAACTCTTGGTTTCAGCTCAGGTCATGATTTCAGGGTTGTGGTCTCAAGGTGGTGAGATCAAGCCCCCGTCAGGTTCCGCTCCATGCAGAGTCTGCTTAAGACTCTCTCTCCCTCTCCCCCCTACCCCTCCCACCCCGCTCTCTCCTCTCTTGCTCTTTCTCTAAAATAAATCTTTAAAACATCCTTTAAAAAAATAAAGAAAAATAAAGAATGTCATACAAACAGAACCGCACAGTATGTCACCTTTGGAATTGGCTTTATTTCAGTCAACATAATCTATAGATTCATCCACGTCATTGCATGCATCAATAGTTTGTTCCTTTTTTCTCTTTTTGTTATTGAATAGTGTTAAAAAAAAAAAAAACTTATAGTACTTATGGTTAACCCCTTGTAGCCAAGGAAGTAGGAGACCCTAGGGAAAAAGAATAGCAAAGGAAAATCTCAAATTCTGGGGAGGATAGACTCCTTACTAGTTAAATAGGAAAGAGGAGAGGAAAAGGTTTTGATTCTAGTGTGAAAATGTTCACATTTGACATACCAGAAGTTGGGATCTGCCTTCCTATCTACAGCTATAGCATAATTGGAAGTATTTTTTTTTTTTCTTTCTTGGAGGTACCTAAAATAATGGTACAACTTGGACTCAATGAAATGTGCTATTTACTGGACATCAGGTTGGCACTTTTTATATAGCATCTTGCTTAATAGGACCTTGTGAAGTATATATCATCCCCGCTTAATAAGATTATAATAGCTAACAGTTTTCAGCATTTACTGTATGCTGGGCAGAAGAGCTTTACATAGGCTAACACTTCATATTCATAATGGCCCTCAATTAGGTTATAATTGCTATCTGCATTTTATAGATAAAGAAGTTGAGACTGGAGGAAGTGGGTGATTTGATCCCAGTCACATCCTCCCCTAGAACCAGAATCTGAACAGAAGTCTTTTTAAAAGCTTTTCTCTTTCCACCAGCCCAGTGGGCTTAACCTTACCAATGCCTGTTTTTCATCACAAATATTTCCTAAAAAAAAAAAAAAGATTTTATTTATTCATTTGAGAGAGAGAGCAAGAGAGAGAGAGCACGAGCAGGGGAGAGGGGCAGAAGGAAAGGGAGAAGCAGACTCCCCACTGAGCAAGGAGTCTGATGCGGGACCCAATCCCAGGACCCTGGGATCATGACCTGAGCCGAAGGCAGGCAGATGCTTAACCGACTGAGCCACCCAGGCGCCCTGCATCACAAATATTTCTTAGTACCCTTTGATTATTGTGAAATGGATGTCATAGTTAAAGAAACTTCTTACACATATCATCAAAAATTATATTGGGGGTGCCTGGGTGGCTCAGTTGGTTAAGCCTCTGATTTTGGCTCAGGTCATGATTTCAGGGTCCTGGGAGCCTCAAGCCCTGTGTTGGGCTCCCTGCTCAGTGGGGACTTTCCATCTCCCTCTGCCCCTTCCCCAACTCGTGTGTGCTTTCTCTCTCTCTTTCTCTCAAATAAATAAAATCTTTTAAAAAATTATAATGTATATAAATTCCTCATGTATATGTAATCATGTATATCATATATATGTATATAAAACTATAATGAAGAAAGTCATAAATAATTTTTATCTCATCAGGTCAATGCACAGGTGTAGCGACAGAGAAGACATGTAGTAGTTGGACACTTGTACCTAGGGTACCATTACTGCAAAGACCACAACACAAAAGACTTAAGATACAAATTACGGCGACAAATCCAGGAGAAGGATGCATAATAAGTTTTCTTGTGTAAAGAGTTTACCTTAATCATTTAAAGAGGCATATAAGTTAAAACAATGAGATTTGGAGTCCAATACCTTGGGTTAAAATTGTTTCCCCACCTGTAAAACAAGCCTTGTAATAGTATCTCCCTAATAGATTTCTTAAGGAAAAATAGTTAATACTGAGCACTTATCATGGTTGCTTCCAGATGGTTCCTTTGTATAAATGGAAGTTAGTATTTCCAAGAATTCTCATAATATTTAGTCATCCTGTTTGCTCAAATAGGAGGCCTTGCTCTTTTTTGTTAAAAACGGGGTTTGTGCCTTTACAGGTTACAAATCCCGGTTCAAAACTTGGAGAAACAAGTGAATTCCAGACCTCGCACCCAGCTCCAACCTCCGTTTTCTCCCTTCACCCCCCTCCTCACAGTTTCTAAGCTGCTCTTTTTGGATGCTTTGGCATTGCAGATCTTTAAGGATGAAGAAGTATGCATCTTGTAAATTTGTTTCTAAAATATCAGTTCCATATGTTCTGTGTCTGCCTCTAAATTGCCCATTTCTCAGATGTGCCTGGATGATTAGGTCCAGTTCCACTGCTTCACAGATGTCTTTCAGCCCGATGCTCCGAATCTGGAAAGGATGGGAAATGCCTCCACGCTGACCGGGAGTGGACACACTGCCCTGTGTTAAATGATGCAGGTGCTGTAGTGATTTCAGGGGAGGGGATGAGCTGTTCAGCTAGAGAATGCACTTTTTGAGAGGAGAAAATATGTCTTCACTTCTCAGTACCCTCCATGGTGTTTCACTCAGGTGCTTAATAAATAACTATTAGAAAAAGACGGATAGCGAGGAATCTCTGTGACACCATGGACTTCATTCTTTTCCTCCACCTCAGCCAGAATCTCCAGAACTTCGGATACTGTGATGTGGTGGCTTTATGCTTGCTGATGTTAAGGCTTTTCTTTGGGTAAAAGTGCACATTTAAAAGCACCATCATAATGAGGAATTCTTAATCGCAGGAAACAAACTGAGTGTTGTTGGAGTGGGGGGTGGGGTGGGAGGGATGGGGTGACTGGGTGATAGACACTGGGGA